AGGACATTTACAAAATATCTTCATGGAACATGATCTTTACTTAATATCCTAATGATTTTTGGCATAAAAGAAAAATTGATAATTTTGACCCATACAATGTATTGTTGGCTATTGCTACAAATATACCCCAGCGACTTAACACTGCTTTTGTGCTGCAGGCTCACACATATGATTTCTCTAAATGATCAGTCTTTGCTGCTAATCCTGTTTCACACTGTCTCCTCATGTCTTCTGTCTCTGGTTGATAGTTTAGAGTATTTTATCCAGTAAAAGCTCTTTTAGTGTAACTGTAGCTGGAGATTCACGAGTCAAATCTTGACTGATTTTGATCAAGTAAAGGTCAGAATAACTGCAGTAATATCTCCAGATGAACACTTACTGGACTGAAGCAGCTCAGCTTTACTTGATTCTCCATCAATCATGTTTTAGAGTCTCAAATCTGATCCTCAGGATCTTTTGAGGAGCGTTTGTTTCCAGAAGCTTTACTTTCACTGTTCCTCAGCGGAGTGTGGGTCTGAGTGTGTTTGTGTGTGTGTGTGAGTGTGTGTGAGAGTGTGTGTGTGAGCGTATATGCGCGTGTGAGTGTGTGTGTGTGCGCACGTGTGCGTGTGTGTGTGTGTCTGACCTCTCTGATTTGAGGAAGAGGTTGCAGGGAAGCTGGATGAGCTGATTGTGCTGCAGGTCTAGCACCTCCACTGCTGGACGCTCCACACGCTCCGGCAGACGCTTCAGCTGGTTATGACCCGCCAGGATCTTCAACATGAACTACCCTACTATTGTTCACCGTTTGTTAATGTTAGTTCACTTTTGGTCAATCTTGACATTAAGGCCTGGTTTCACAGACAGGGCTTAGACTAAGCCAGGATTAGGCCATAGTTCAGTTAGGACATTTAAGTAATTTTTATAAACATGCCTTAGAAAAAAGCATTACTGGTGTGCATCTTGAGACAAAACAAAGGACGCTCCACACGCTCCGGCAGACGCTTCAGCTGGTTATGACCTGCCAGGATCTTCCTCAGACTCGCACTGCACAGCAGCCTGAGGACGGAGTGAATGTCAAACACACGCAGCGCTGCAGCAGAAACACAGCTGCATAAACTGCACACATAAAGCTGTTCTGCACAAACAGCTCTTAAAATACCTCAGAGCAATTGTGCATGTGCCTTGTGCATCATTTCATTGACCATATTCAAGTGAAATCCTCCATGTGAGGCGTGTAATGACATTTCTAAGACAAATAAGTGACAGTAACCTGATCAATCACTCTTTTGTATTCCTTGTTTTGCATAAAAGCACCTTCCAAATAAACCAGTGTAAATGCAGTAATAGATCAATCAGTGCAAGTTTCTTTCAGTTGAAACAGCTCGGATTTACATTTTAGTCTAGGACTAGGCTTAAGCCTTGTCTGTGAAACCGGGGGTAAGATTATTAAATGCTGTAGAAGTATTGTTCGTTGTTTTCTGATCTGATCCCAGGACATTTGAATTATTACATATTAAATTCAACTAATGCATCTAATAATTTTTTTTTAACTTTGCTGTTTTACTTTCTATAAGAGTAAAGAACCAGCTGCGGCTGTGTGTTAGAGTGATTTCAGGGCGGCTCAGAGTGAAGCGTGCACTAATAATCCAGCACTACCTGCTGTGTGTGTGTGTGTGAGCGAGTGTGTGAGTGAGTGTGAGTGTGAGTGTGTGTGTGTGGCTGGATATTGAGCACAATTGCTGACCCTGTGGGCCGTTTGCTGAAATGGGTGAGAGTGCATTATGGTCATGTCTCATAATTGAGCATCTGGACTCAGTAGAATCTCAAGCTTGTAATTTCTGAGCATGCACATACACACACACACACACACACACACAGCACTGCAGACACACACACACTCACCACGGAGGAAGCTCAGCGATGTGATTGTGACTGACGTCTAGAACCTCCAGCTTCCTGCTGTCACTCAGCCAATCAGGAAGAGCCTTCATGAGGTTCCTGCGAGAGAGCAGACGGGACATTCGTGTCATGATGTGTGTTCATCTGCAGTGATTTCACACGTCATGATGTCACGCACCTGGAGATGTCCACGTGTGTGAGGCTGGCGGCGGCGGGACTCAGGTCTAGCTCCTGCAGCTCTGGGGACAGAAAGCGTGAGCGTCAGTGGAGACGAGGCTGTGTGTGTTCATGTGAGCAGTGGTGCTGCGTGTGTACCGTTGCTGGAGGCGTAGAGAGCCTTGAGCGCACAGCCACGCAGACGCAGACGCCTGATGCGGTTCCTCTGACAGTGCAGCACCTCCAGCCGCGGGAAGACAGACGCGTCCAGCTCACTCAGACGGTTGTCTCTCACATCCAGCTGCGTCACGTGATGCAGAAACTCTGGCTCGTCCGGCAGCACAGAGGAGATCTGATTCAGACTGATGAGACGGAGAAACAACTCACTGCATTCACTGCACACACATGACAGACACTTCACCCATCAACACTGTACACATACTGGATCACGTGTGACACTGGACCACACAACCATCATAAGGGTCAATTTTGTGAAATTGAGATTTATGCATCATCTGAAAGCTGAATAAATCATCTTTCCATTGATGTATGGTTTGTTAGGATAGGACAATATTTGGTCGAGATACAACTATTTGAAAATCTGGAATCTGAGGGTGCAAAAAAATCTAAATATTGAGAAAATCGCCTTTAAAGTTGTCCAAATGAAGTTCTTAGCAATGCATATTACTAATCAAAAATTAAGATTTGATATATTTACGGTAGGAAATTAACAAAATATATTAATGGAACATGATCTTTACTTAATATCCTAATGATTTTTAGCATGAAAGAAAAATTGACAATTTTGACCCATACAGTGTATTGTTGGCTGTTGCTACAAATATACCCCAGCGACTAGGGATGTAACGATTAACCGCGAGCCGGTTGGAAATCGATTCAAATATGTGACGAGTTTATTTGGAAAAGGCGATGTTTCCTGTACCCATAGAACTGTATAATCCATAACAATGTGCGGATTTGCTTTAATCTGTTGGATCATTCAAAAAAATTGATTCCTAATGAAATTTGACTTGTAACGTGGAATCAAATAAAGTATATAAAATGTGTGTGTGAGTAAGTGTGTGTGTGTGTGTGTGAGAGTGTGTGTGTGTGAGTGCTGACACACACACACACACACACACACACACTTCAATCTCACAGTAGTGTCCAGCAGAGCAGCGAGAGTCACATGACCGTCTGACTCCACACCACACATCTAACCTGACACTGTTGAGTAAAGCGTTTCTGATTAGATGAGAACGAAAATATAGCAATCATTTTTTAGTTGTTCTTACAGTCACAGGGTTTGAAAAAATGACTGTTTGAATAATTTAAAACTGACATTAAAATCTATGAACTATCCAATTGTTTAAAATGTGCAATGATTTTCTGTATTTATTTTTATTTTTATATACCTCTGCCATGTTTGGTTATATGTACTCTTGTTTGTACAATAAGCTCGGTTCTCCTAAAAAATTATTATTTTTTTACATTTTGTATTATATATTACATTTATATTATGTAATATACATACGTAAATTTTTTTTTTCAATTTTAGGCAATTTTAGAGCAAGTTATTACACATTTATTTTACTATGAAGATTATTTATTCATTTATTTTATTAATTTTAGAACAGCATTTATTTGAAATAGAAATCTTTTGTAGCATTTTAAATGTCTTTACTGTCACTTTTGATGAATGTAACACATCCTTGATGAATAAAAGTATTAATTTCTTTAATTTTTTCAAAAAAAAAAAAAAAAAAAAAAAGTACACAACTGTTTTCAACACTGACAATGATCAGAAATTGTAAAAAATAAACAATATTATTTTTTGCTGTATTTTGGATGAAATAAATGAATACTTGGTGAGCAGAATAGACTTCCTTCAAAAACACTGGAAATATAACAGAAGTGTATGTTTCTAATATTAAATGTTTTTGTATTATAAACAATTACTGTGGTTTGTGGACTGTCTGGACTGTGATTGTTAGACTTAATATTAGGCCTATTAGTTAATATTATTCATAAAAGTACAAATAAGGGAATGTTCCTCATAATAATATATTTGAGTGCTTATGAAGATGAGTGCAGCTTCTCAGTAAGCGCAGGTCTGACTGGACGAGGCGTGATCATGTGACACTCACTGGCTCATGTTGGCCAGGTCGGGGTGGATGGAGGTCAGGAGGTTGCAGCTGAGGTTGACCTCCGTCAGTGTGCTGATGGAGCAGATGGGCAGCGGGAAACTCCCCAGCTGATTATGAGAGAGATTGAGGCTCCGCAGGCGGGAGAATCTGCAGAGAGATGACATCATCAGCGCGCGACAATCACCTTCCCATCCGCATCGATGTCCTTAACGCTTCTAAGTGTTATTATTAATCGGATGAAATATCTAGGGCCATTTATTTTTTTCCCAAACTGCATGTTTTCGATTTTAATTTTTCTGGATTCTGTTGTCATGGTTTAATTAAATTGTAATAATCAAAAGGATGTCTAATCAATTGCATTAATAGAATGTAACAAGTTAATAACTTCACTAAATATTTTTTTTTTTAATCAAAAATGTTGGTAACGAATGAAAGCATATATTGTTTAACAATTTAATTAGTATTTTATAGATGCAATTAAGAAACAATTTTTATTTTTCGGCAAACAAAGTTTTGCTTACTGTTACAACGTAAACATGGGTAAAAAAGTGTGATCTTTCTTAAAAAACGGTTTTAATAATATTGCAATTAGTGCTGTCAAACTATTAATCACATCCAAAATAATATATGTGTGTGCTGTGTATATTTATTATGTATATATAAATACACACACATGCAGTATATATTTAAGAAAAATGTTATGTTTAATATATTTATATATAATATAAATTATATGAATATAAATATATACACATGCAAATATATGCAAGTATTTTCAAAATATATACTGCATGTGTGTGTATTTATATATTCATAATAAATATACAGGGAATGTTCCTCATAATAATATATTTGAGTGCTTATGAAGATGAGTGCAGCTTCTCAGTAAGCGCAGGTCTGACTGGACGAGGCGTGATCATGTGACACTCACTGGCTCATGTTGGCCAGGTCGGGGTGGATGGAGGTCAGGAGGTTGCAGCTGAGGTTGACCTCCGTCAGTGTGCTGATGGAGCAGATGGGCAGCGGGAAACTCCCCAGCTGATTATGAGAGAGATTGAGGCTCCGCAGGCGGGAGAATCTGCAGAGAGATGACATCATCAGCGCGCGACAATCACCTTCCCATCCGCATCGATGTCCTTAACGCTTCTAAGTGTTATTATTAATCGGATGAAATATCTAGGGCCATTTATTTTTTTCCCAAACTGCATGTTTTCGATTTTAATTTTTCTGGATTCTGTTGTCATGGTTTAATTAAATTGTAATAATCAAAAGGATGTCTAATCAATTGCATTAATAGAATGTAACAAGTTAATAACTTCACTAAATATTTTTTTTTTTAATCAAAAATGTTGGTAACGAATGAAAGCATATATTGTTTAACAATTTAATTAGTATTTTATAGATGCAATTAAGAAACAATTTTTATTTTTCGGCAAACAAAGTTTTGCTTACTGTTACAACGTAAACATGGGTAAAAAAGTGTGATCTTTCTTAAAAAACGGTTTTAATAATATTGCAATTAGTGCTGTCAAACTATTAATCACATCCAAAATAATATATGTGTGTGCTGTGTATATTTATTATGTATATATAAATACACACACATGCAGTATATATTTAAGAAAAATGTTATGTTTAATATATTTATATATAATATAAATTATATGAATATAAATATATACACATGCAAATATATGCAAGTATTTTCAAAATATATACTGCATGTGTGTGTATTTATATATTCATAATAAATATACACAGTACACACATATATTATTTTGGATGCGATTAATCGTTTGACAGCACTAATTGCAATATTATTAATATTACTACTTTATAAGTAAATTCTACATTATAATACTGTACTATATTTGTCAATTTCTTTAAGTTAAAACTTTAACTGAACTATTATTTTGACATGTTTTAGTGGAGGCTCTTGATCGTCTGATGAAATCTCTGTAAGTATGATGGAACATCATTTGATTTCTCGAGACGGACACAATCTGACAGAAACCCTTCAGAAACTGACCTCTGCAGCTGCAGCAGCGTCTGGTCAGCAGGAAGGAAGTTGTGCTTGAGGTTGAGGTGCGTCAGATCCTGACTGTACAGCAGATTAGACGGCAGCTTCTCCAGACTACAGCAGGACAGATCCACCGAGCTGATCCTCTGAGACACCACCTACACACACACACACACACACAGAGACAGAGACACACACACACACACACACACACACAGACAGACACAGACACACACAGAGACACAGACGCACACATTGACAAATTTCATGATTCGATTTAATTCAATTCAATTTCAATCTCACAGTAAACATTCATTTTTTCAAGGAAAAATCTCAAATGTCGCTGCAAACTATACAATAAACCAAAACTTAATGTTTGATTAGTAATATGCATTGCTAAGAACTTCATTTGGACAACTTTAAAGATGATTTTCTCAATATTTAGATTTCTTTGCACCCTCAGATTCCAGATTTTCAAATAGTTGTATCTCAGCCAAATATTGTCCGATCCTAACAAACCATACATCAATGTAAAGCTGATGGCTTTCAGAGGATGTATAAATCTTAATTTAAAAAAATTGACCCTTGTGACTGGTTTTGTGCTCCAGGGTCACAAATACGGTTTGTATTTCATACTGAAATGGACAGAATGTGAATGTGACTCAGTAAACGGCACTAACGCATGACGCGGTGATTCAGTCTAAACACACACGCGATCACATTAACTGAGGCTTTTCTAATCTGAGGCTCCCGGCGGACCGGACTCGTCTCACGACACACAGCTGTCTCCGATGGAAAATAGGCTGGCCTACTTGCGTTTGTTTGGGATGGTGCGTTCGTGGTGAAGTATGCTAAAGTAGGACTCCCAACTAGGGCTTTCACTCACACA